ACCCCATGTGGACAGGGCGCAATGGAAAGACATGGAACTATGGGGGAGCCCCCAATTTTACACCCCCATGCCCTACTGAGAACCAGATTTGGGTCACATGGGAAGAGAACCTGATGGAGTAATCTGGGCTGCTAGTCCTTATCCCGGAGCTCCATGGCCCATATCTCATCTCCCTCCTTCCATTCCTAACCCCCACCTCCATTTTCCATTCCTATGCCCCCATCCTCATGCCTCCATTCCTACACCTACCATCTTCTCTAATCCCTCCCCACTCCACACTGCCTATTCCTACCCACAGGGGTCACCAAACCGCGGCAAGCCCCACTTGCCAGCCGTGCTGTCCGGTGATCAGCGCATGCGTGGATCGCCCGTACTTGGCTCTTCCAGGTTGCAATCTACTCGCCCTGGACGAGTAGATTGTACTATTTGTCGAGCTCTGTCTACCCACACCTCCTTCCTCCATTCCTACACCCCCATCCTTCCCTAACCCTCCCCCTGCCTCCATTCTTATATCCCTCTCATCCCCACCATCCCCCTATACCATACCACCCATCCCCAAATACACCCTAACCCCCTTCCTCCCTACATACATACACTCTGCCCACTTCCACAAATTCGCTGAGCTGTGCGCCCTCTCCCAGCCACCCCTGGAGGGCCACTGGGCTGGGCAGCACAGCCCTGGCCACCACAGCAGGTGTCAGTCTGCCCCCAGCCCAGCCTTTCTGAACGGGCCTGTTGGGGCAGTTTTGGTCTGTGATGAGCCCAGGGAACCTGCAGCACAGAGCAGTTGCTCCAGAGAGCCAGGGAAGTGGCCGGGGTGCAGCATAACCACATTCTTCCCAAAAGGGCTGGGTATGCAGACACTGCTCCAAAGGGTGCACGGGCATGAAGCCACCCTCCCCATTTCACGGAATGGTCACATCGTCAGGGCTCCTGGGGTGGGGGTGAGCTCTGTGGTTGGGATGCAGAGTTATGTGATGACATCACTCTGTCATCCTCCAGAAAATTTTTATATGGATAGATTGATTAGATAGATAGATAGAGAGATATATTAGATTTCATACTGTATGTTCACAACCAATTGCACCCAACACTTCGTTGGAATCCTTGTGCAAGCTGAAATAACTTGAAACTCATACCTCCTCAAAATGTCTTTTCCCCCCCTAGGTTAGACAAACTAATTAGATCATATTTAAATCGTATTAGGTATAAATGGGCACCTAAGCACTATATCAACAGGTGCATGAAAATAACTGACTTGTTACATGCCTTAAAAATAGCTGATCAAACTACTTAAGGAAGGAAGAGATTAATAGCTTTGGACAAAGTCTCCCTCTCTCATCCGTCAAAGACATTACATAAGTATTAGTAGAGGACAGAGGGGACTCTGTTCTTGAGACAATTTCCTAAATATTCTTTCCTCAGAAAATAATTGCAATCACCACTTAATACAATGATTTATTCATCTCTCTCTCTCTCTCAGACATACACGCACACACACTTTTTTGAATTAACAGCAGTAGTGCCCAACCATGCTGGTACATGCTGGCACAGTTTATAGAAACAGTACTCTGCCCTAAAAGAGTTTGCAGTCTAAACTGTATGTTTATTAATCCCTTGAATCCAGCAGGTCAGAAGTTTACTAACACTCATACCAGTTTGTTTCAACATGTCACTGGAACATGCTGACATTAGAAAAGTGTCCAGATATATTTGCCAAGTCAGTGGAAGTGTGTTTTTGTAGTTTATAAATCTAAATGTGCTTTGTATGCGTAATGAAGAATTAACCCTGTCAAAAAAATGCAGCAGTTCTGTATTCCGTGTGCCACAAAACAAAACTGTTTACTTCTAGATTTAGTTTCTATGTATTCACCACATCCCTGATGGATCGGGATTTTGAAACTAGTTATTTTGGATAGATATCACTAGAAATCAATACCAACAGATTCCATTCCAGTTTTCTCCGCCTCATTTAATTACAATCCACAGATAATCTACCTACTGTACAGTGCAAGTAAAGAATATATAACAAGGAACTGACTAATAAAATATCTGTTATAACAACGTTCTACAGCTGAACCTCAGAATTATAAACACTTAAAGAATAGAAGTTGTTTGGAACACCAAACAAAAGATGGTTCTTTTAAAAGTTTATGACTGAACACTGATGTAATACAATTTTGATACTTCTCAGATGTACGGGGATGGGTAAATTTAACATCCTGGTTACAATTTCATATAATCCCCATGTTAGTCTATGAACAACAATCTGAGAGTTTTGAACACCAGACTTCTCAAAGGCAATTAATGAGTGATACTAGTAACAGATAATGAAAATAGCTTCTGAACTGCCAGCAACATAATTACTCTCTCCTAGTTATTTAAACATCTAGAGGTACAAAAAGCTTGGGAGAAACCCCTTTATAGTTTAGCTGCAACAAATATTTATTTCATCTTTTTGGCAATGATCCACTAATGGATATCTTAACATAATTAAAGACTTGGGATTAAAAACGGCCC